TAATGAAGTAATATGTGATTGTCACGGGAACAGAACGAGGAAATGAAATGTTAATCAGTGAAAAACCTCTGTAATCAATGAAGCTCATCAATTAATTTGTCACACCAAATGATAATTATTATTATTATTATGGCTTCCTAAATTATGCATCTAATTGAATCACCACCACTCGTTTCAATCGATCGATGTTCAGACTGAAGATGCGATTTTTTTTCTGAATACTCTCTCTCTTCAGTGAAGGTGATACTTTCCGTGTCGAACGGTATTCCCGCTTGGCGAACGTTTTATTTTTGGCCACATTCAGGCGCAAAGAAGTGCCAAGAAGGCGAACTAAGCGTTTAGTCGTTAACGTGAAATTAACAGCGATTGTACCGGCTCGAACATTTAACGTGATTCTTTTCCGTTTCATTGCGCTGCTCCGTGAATCTTTTCCCAGCACATTACCAAAGTATCTTATCAACATAACGGCATGCTTCCACAGAAGCATGCCGTTATGTTGATAAGATACTTTGTCAACGGCATGCTATCAACATAACGGCATGCTTCCACAGAAGTGCTGCTTTCAATACATATTTCTAATTCANTCGTATATTCAACATTTTTGAACTGTTTCCTTACTCTGTTTTTTTTCATACACTCTAAAAGTCTCCGTTGAATCTTGTCGCACATGTTCCATTAGCAACCGTGAGTGAATGAATGTCCGGTGAATCGTCAAGGAAAGCCGTGACGGTAAAATGAATTAGGTTCACGTCACGATTCGGTGCACGTTCACAAATCCACGCATTTTCGACGACCCACAGAAACGTTTTTCATTGCGCTCTTCCGTTATATGACGGACGCTAAATCAACTAACTGTTCACTCAAACCACTGAATGAAATTTTCATCTAAATACGCGATATTCTATTTGAAAGCGCCGCTTTTCACCGCTGATGTATTGTGTAGTTTTCATTAGATGAATAGGTTCGTTGGCGTCTTGAATTTATGAATTTAATGTGCCTTCCAAAAATAATTTTTGAAAGAGCAATATTCACATATTCACTTACGTCTTTGCAAACGCAAGCAAAAGTAATTCATTATTAATGTCTTTTTCCCGTTCGTTCGCGGCCTTTTCATTTTGAGAATACGTTTTCAGAGTTGATTCATACATCGAATGAACTGGACGAATAGCAGTTACTCTAAAATGAATCGTTTTCAAAGAACAGTTTTTGTTTGCTGAGCTGAAAATTTCAGAATTCACAGAATACTGTAAAAAAGCATGATTTTTTAGTTGGTATTTTTGTGGCCGTTGGGCGGAACCAATTGCGTGCCGTGCCGCCACGGTTTGCTACTCATTTGAAGGACATCCAGTTGATCGCCAGTAAAACTCTATTGCTTACTCGTTTGGGTTTCAGTCATATTCAC